GAAGACGTCCACTTGGAAAGACGAGGAGGTTCCAGATGTTTTGGTGATGAGGGCCGACGCCGTGTGGACGAGCTGTAAACAACAACTCTGATCTTTACACAGCAGAGTTTAGACGCCATGTCCCGCCTCCTGCTGCTCTACAGGTTCCTCTCCTCACCTGAATGTCCCCACATGTTCCTGTTGTTGTGAATGAGTCAACAATCTGCTACACACACTGACTACACACACTGACTACACAACATGTCTACACAACATGTCAGGACAATCTGCTGCTGCTTCACAGGACAAACACAAAGTCAGTTCTTGTCTGAAAACCGTTATTGCTCTTCTCCAAAATCCAGATTCACATTTTTAGTCTTGTGCTCTGTAAACTTTACAATCACATTAACTGGTCAAATTAAAAGTTGTGCTAAACGTTGACTTAAACAGCCTCAGTCAAGTGTTTTTTTGTTTTCTCAACACACTCTACTTTGTGTCTCCTGAATTCTAACACACGCGTCCTCAGGCCATGCATGTCACCAGTGCTGTGAACACGCTCGTCTGTTGTGAATACAGTCAGAGCAGACTGTTATTAAAGTGTCTGCGTGCCAGCAGCATACGTGGACTTTAGAGCAGATTCCTCTGCTGAGACCAGAGAGGAGAGCTTTGTTATAAGTTAACAGTTTGACGTGAGAGTACAGGAATCCATAGACCAGCTTGACCTGTTGGATAAGCAGGAAAATATGCTCGTTCACTGTCGTTGTGTTGATCAACTAAAAATGTAGGAAACTTAACTACGTCAACCTCATGATCCACTGTAGAGCCTTTCACAGACAGTATCAGTTCAACTTTTATTTTACAGAAGAAACGCTGCAGTAAAGAAGTGTATTGCTTAAATTTTACATAAAATATTCTTTCTCTGAATTTAAATTCTATATATTTGGCTTATCTGTGTTTTTGTTTTCTTTATAGTTGTTTACTATAGAAATGTATCGTTAGGGTTAGACAAAGAATCATGAAGGAAGCTGCTGCTGTTTCAACTGAGCATCTGGACACAGTTTGAGAAAAGGTCTGAGTTATGATACGTTCATCTGGTTGTGAAGTGTTGGTCATAGTGCACAACAACAACAACAACTGGGGAGAACTCTGTCTCTGCTCCAACAATTAAGGCTGAATAATCTACTGTCAATCAATTCTCTGCTCAATGTTTCCTGTGCACTTTCAACTGCCCTCTGAAATCTGATGCGTCACCATTTTTCCACCACGAGCCTCCGTGTGGATGAACCTCTCTTTTCTCGCCAGACGTGAACCGAGCAGCGAGTCTACATCACACAGCCGCACAACAGTGAAACTAATATTGTGTGTGTGTGTGTGAGAGAGAGTGTGATGTAAGTTAACAGTTTTCACAAAGATGTCACTGGCACCTGGATTGTTGCCACTGAAACACCAGGGAGCGTCAGGACGACAGTGAGTTCTCCTCTGTAGAACCTCTGAACTGTGACAGCAACACTTTTTACTTTTGGATACCTCCCTTCTGTGTCATTCATCGTGGACTTGGCCTCTGTCTTATCTACCGTCTGACTGTGGTAACGAAGGTCGAGCGAAACACACAGGGATCAATAAACACTGACAAATGCTCCCTGACGTCGTCCAGCCAGTGAAGTTTCACAGGAACTCAGCCGAGAGGAAACTTCAGGACAATCACTGCAGGTTTACAGTAAATAGACGGACCCTTGAGTCAGTGTTGATCCCCAGAGTCAGTTTAACCCATGGATTAATGAAGCTTTCTCCTTTTAAGGCAGAGGAGTCACTGATCTGCAGCTCTGTCACATTTGACTCAGTCACATTTGACTCTCTCTGGATGAATTTCTCTTCGTGAAGCGTCATCCAGGCGAGGATGTACATGGAGTGCAGGCGATGATGGTGATGATGATGATGTGCTTGAACTGCAGCGTTTCAGATGATCACTGATCCAGTTCATTCAGCCTCTCAGTGGTCACTCCGTCCTGGACATGAACTGCCCGAGGGGAAAATCACTCCTCCAGAACAAAGAGGGGAAACTGATCATCTTTTGTGTTTTCTTGATTATCTTAGTTAATTTACTATTAAGTGCCATCATTGCCAATGTTATTAATAAGTTAATTGTGCATATGAGCATCACTGTTGTCACTGAACTGATCAAACACAAGTTACATGTCGTCATTTGTTAAAGCACAGTGGACATATTGGCCCTGGGAGATCAAACCGTATCAATAATCATCAGTGTATATATATATTATACAAGTTGACATGTTTACTCATTGTGTAAACACAGTCAGGAGGTTTTGTTCAATGTGTTTACATAATATTTAATAATGTGTCAAACAAAGTAAACTTTAAGAACTGTTCAAATCTTAACCACTTCTGATGAGTGTCTGTCGTTAACGTGGGTGCAGGTCAGAGACTGAGGAGGGAGAACATGTTGCGGTACAAGGACACTATGCCTATAATGTGTGTCTGTCCTGATCGTGACGCAGCGTCCTGCCATTTAGTTGAGTGCATTACCCGACTTATATTGCAGGAAATACAGTTGTTATACCAGAAACCTCATGCAGCAGAACTGCGGCGCAGTCACAAGCCGCTCACACAGGCGCTGTGGCCCTGCTGTCATGAGGCAAGACAAACCAAGAGACTTGTTGCAAAACGAAAACGTGGGATAACCATCTTCTTTTTCATAATCGCTTGAAGCCGTAATTGATTTCCACTAATCGCCCAGCCCTCGGGCAGAGCTTTTTATAAACAGTCTGTGGTGCAGAGTGAAGTTAGAAAACTCTGTTTATCTGCACTGAAGCTGTTTATGTTTTTTTAGATCTTTTTGAATGTGTCCTAATCAAAACACCTCCATTTCAACACTGCACGTCCCTGAACACAAGTGTGAAGCTCATCAAATGAACCTTGAGATGTGCGTTCCACAGACGGTGACTTCTGGAATAAGTAGGCTTATCATGCCCAGGTCAAATGCAGCAATGTTTCTTTCCACCTCTTGGTGCTTGTTGCTGTGAACAGATGATCAAGAGGCTCCGGTCTGATCCCTTCTGATTGTTTGTGTCCTCGCTGTTGTCATTAAGATAAAATGTTATTGAGACCTCAGCTTTTATTCTCCTCAGGTGGCCACAGGTTCAAGTCGGACACGTCCCAGATGATGCCTGAGGCGGAAGACTACCTGTTGGAGGAGGAGGTGGGCATGGCCCAGCCTGTACAGATCGTGGTGGCTAACGAAGAGGAGCACTCGTTCACGCTGCAGGAGGAGGCGCTGGAGAGGCTGCTGCTGCAGGAGGAGGTGCAGGACCTCCAAGTGGTCGTCGTCTCTGTGGCTGGAGCATTCCGCAAGGGCAAGTCCTTCCTGCTGGACTTCATGCTGCGCTACATGTACAAACAGGTACTCAAGAAACTGGAGGAGACAGCAGAGCATGTCTCTGTTAACTTTAAAAATGTTTAAATTATCACTCCAGCAAAAACAGTGAATAAAGCAGCTTCATGTTAAACTCAGTGTGTCTCTGAGGAGACGAGCTGCCGCTAACGTTCGCTCAGCTCGTTTCTCTGAAAACTTCAGATCCACGACTCAAATCCTTCGTCTGCTTCAAACACAGAGTTCAAAACCACCAAGATCTAAAGTCTTGATTAAAACTTTGACTCAAACTGGATTAAAAAGTCACTTTTGAATCTTCTCACTGTCGAACACAACGCTGACACATGAACAAAGTGGGATTGACGCCACCAACAGGCGACCAAATGAAATGCATGCTTACTCTATTAGAACAACAGATTTCTGCAGTTTTTAAATAAAATGTTGCAGGGCTGGAAGTTCGGACAAGTTGTAAAAGAATGAATCTTTCTCAATCATAAAAGTCACTGGATCCAATTGTCCACCGTTTAATTTGAAGTCAGGGACACAGATATGGTTCCAGGTGACTTCCTGTCCGCTGCAGCAGAAACAAAAACCTTTTTCTGTTTGAGACGTTTACGAGGAGAGTTTGAAATCGCTGTGTTCTATGACTCAACCTTTGGTCCGTGTTAATCTGCAGAGGCTGCAGGGTTTCATCACACAGTAAAGAGGATTTTACTCCGGCACAATGTCTGCTCTGTGGCCAGGCCTCCATCCGCACGGCTCTGTGCTGCTTAGTCCACATATAAAGACCATCCTTATGTTTGAAATAACCACACACACACTTTCTATAATGGGACTCGACTGTGCAACAAGGATCCATTCATGTTGTGGCTGATTAACATACTTCATGTACGTGGTCTGTTAATAACCATCAGGGTCATTGACATGTTGAACTGTGAGAAGCTGTTTTTATACTGTTGAAGCTTTGTACAAGTTCTTCATCAGTGACAAATTACTTTGATCGGGTAGAAAGTAACATCGATCTAGAAAATATATTATTCCCGTAGATTAACGCTGTAATATGAAATAAGTTCTACCACAGGAAAGGTTCCCGTAAGATCTGGGATGTCATTGCAGATTTGCACCATGTGTGAACTATCCTCAATCTTTTGGAATAAAACGAATGATGCAGTTATTTGTCTCATTGAGCTCAAACTGATTTGAATCCAGTTGTGACTTTGTTACACATCTTTTCTTCCACCTGAAGAGTTTGTGGCCAGAATCAGTGTTTCATGATGTTAAACTGACTCAGGAACCGCGTCGTAAATCACCCTCCTCATCTTCCCCCAGTCCAGTTCCTGGGTGGGCAGCGAGGATGAACCTTTGACAGGCTTCACCTGGCGTGGCGGCTGTGAGAGGGAGACCACGGGCATCCTGGCCTGGAGCGAGGTGTTTGTGGTTGAGAAACCAGACGGCTGCCAGGTTGGTTCCCGAGCCGCCACTGTCATGTTCACGTCGTGCCACATGTTGAAATTAAATGACTGTGCGCTTTTGTTGTTGCAGGTTGCAGTTCTACTAATCGACACACAGGGGGCGTTTGACAGCCAATCAACCATTAAAGACTGTGCCACACTGTTCGCTCTGAGCACCATGACCAGCTCTGTCCAGGTCAGCTGTTGTTTCTAAAGACCCACATTATTCAGAACTGATTAAAACTGAGTCACGTTTGTCGTCATCACTACTCGGGCTGCGTCTACCTCTACTTTAAAGATATAGAGGCGCCTGAGCGATGGGTCAATGCTTGTTGTTTGTGTTTTAGGTGTACAACTTGTCCCAGAACGTCCAGGAAGACGACCTGCAGCACCTTCAGGTCAGTACCAGCCTGCAGGATGGTTGTACTTGATTCTAATGTACTGAAGGATCTCATCACACAAACTACCTGATATAAACCAGTGATATAACGTGTTGAAACAAAATCATCTGACTGTTGAACAACTCGTTGACTCGTTCACAGCAACAGGAACATGTGGGGCGAGGGGCGGAGCCTGTAGAGCAGCAGGAGGCGGGACATGACGTATAAACTGTGCTGTGGAAAGATCAGTGTTGTTGTTTCCAGCTTTTTGAGTTAAATATCAGAATTATCCTTTAATGAAGGACAAGTATCGTCACAACAACTAATTCAACGGTCTCCATGTGCTGAAAGTTTTGCAGCAGTTGATTTTAGTAAACCTGATGGCTGCTCCAGATACTTTGTCTCAAATACTTTTTCCTTCCAGTTGCAGTAACTCTGTCAGCTGAGTTTTAATCCGACAGATTTACTTCAGCCGTACTGCGAAAGTACTTTTTTTTTCTTTTTAAAGACACGACTGACGAGATCCGTGTCAGGATTAAACTGAACGCAGCCATATGAGGCAGAACACGGCTCACACAAAAACCTGGTGAAAATTCCTCGTCCATGTTTGGGCCCAGTTCATCAGTGCGTGTCGGAGATCGCCTGACAATGAGCCTCTGAACGGAGCGAGTGTGACAGCGCTGCAAATGAAGACGTTCTCTTTGACCAGAAGAAGAAGGATCAGTGTAAAGCTGTTAGGTCCACAGCTGACATTAAAATGTGTCCTGACTGTCTCTTATGATCACTTGTGGTCGGATCTCACTTCCTGCTCTATGTGCAAATGATCACGTGCATCATGTTTGATTAGATTTGAATGTGTGTCTCCTCAGCTCTTCACTGAGTATGGACGACTCGCTATGGAGGAAGTCTACGAGAAACCTTTCCAGGTATGAGCAGCAGGTCACTGTCCTCGGAGTATTCAGATGACACAGGGTAGAAAATTAAGTTAGATTAAAAAAAATAAAAAAATAGTGATTTTTGGAGTCTATCTTCTCCGTGGAAGTTTTAGAAGCAGGTTGAAGTCGTAGAATCCAGATCCTGAATCAGTAACCGGAACATGTTTCTTCTTTTTTCAGACTCTGATGTTCCTGATCAGAGACTGGAGTTACCCGTACGAACATCCGTACGGTTTGGACGGAGGAAGGAGCTTCCTGGAGAAACGGCTGCAGGCGAGTTTCTTCTCAATGTGAACATCACAGTTTAACGTGGACGGGTCCAGCGTCTGTGTGGCCACGAGCTTCTCATGTTCACTGAACACTGAGCGGCTTCAGCTTTTTAACTTCATGGTTGTGTTTACAAAAAAAAAACTTGACATGTGATGTCATTGTTGTCACTTCACTACTAATGAGAATCTGTTCATGGAGACGTCTCGGCTTAACGAAGCAGAGTGAAACTAACGAGAGCGTCCGTGTCCAGGTGAAGCAGAACCAACACGAGGAGCTGCAGAACGTTAGGAAACACATCCACTCCTGTTTCTCCAACATCGGCTGCTTTCTGCTGCCTCACCCCGGCCTCAAGGTCGCCACCAACCCTCAGTTCGACGGCCGGCTCAGAGGTACGATGCCAACCGTTACCGTGGTGAAACTGTGAAGCTAATAGATTTTGACAAATTAAGACCGAAGGCTCAGGAAAAAAAACTCACTGTTTGAAAACGGTTGTTTAACATGTGGTTTGTGTCTCAGACATCGATGAGGAGTTTAAGCGGGAGCTGGTAAATCTCGTTCCGACGCTGCTGTCGCCAGAGAACCTGGTGGAGAAAGAGATTGGAGGAGTGAAGATCACCTGCAGAGAACTGCTGCACTACTTCAAGGTGAGTCCTCGTCGGGCGCCGCTCCACCGTTCACCTGCTCAGTGACGGGATATTTAACAGAGAAGAGAATGAAGACAAATTTCAAGTTGATGATTTGTTTGATTTTGCTTCTGTATCAGAAAAACTCTCCGTCATGTGATGTAAACAGGAAGTAGACTGTCTCTGCAGTTGGTTGCTTAGCAACAGAAACTCCTCTGAAGGAGGAGCAGTGATGGTGAAAAGTCAGAGCAGAGATTTCTTTTCTCTGAGTGACGACGAGGTGGAACTGTTCCTGACAGGAAGTGTTAGCGACGCTTTGTGTTCACCGCTGGTAGTCGAGTCATGTGACTGATGAGAACCAATCAGAAGAGAACGTCTGATCACCGTTTACTAAAGTCTCAGTTTGTGTTCAGACTAAAACGAGACCAGTTTACACAAGTCTCTGATTGAGAGGCTGGAAAACTCACTCCGCGTAACCATAGCAACAGTGAGTTTTAAAACATGTTAGCGAGGACGGAGCTCTTCATGTCTGGGAACATCTTGTTTTTAAGTTGTACCAATGTTTCACTTCAAAATATAAATAATAATAATAAATAAATAATTTATTCTATAAATGTACTGATCTTATTTTGTTTTTCCTCCACATCCTGTTTTCCATGTTGTTGTTTTTCAGGCGTACATGAAGATCTACCAGGGGGAGGAGCTTCCTCACCCAAAGTCAATGCTGCAGGTCAGTTCAGCTGCTGGTGTCACAGGACGCAGTCATGGCAGAGTTTGGTTTCACTCAGAATCTGAATCGTGTTGATGAGTAGAACAAAAGAGATAAATATCAGAATCCTCAACAATTGTCACAAACAGGATCAGTTGGACGAACGCGAGTTTCTGGCGTCATTTATTTAATTATTTTCAAGAAAACCTGCATTTGCTGCTGGTTTCAGTTCAGATTTCTGGGACATTATTAAACATTTACAGTCTCAGTTAAATTCAGTATCGCAACAAGTGACATGAACAAACATCGCTGACCGTTTCATCCATATGACGCAGCAGAACCGGGTTCATATAGATCTTTGATATGAGGGAATGAAAGAGCCCCACGATGCAGGTGAACATCTGTGAAGGGAATCGTTCTGTTTGACCACGAACCAAACTGGCTCCTGAACTATAAACATAATAAATAATAATCATGATCTGTGTGTGAGAGGCTCATGTCGGACGACTTCATTGGATTAATAAGATGTTTAAATGTTCAATCTCAAGTTCTGTTCATCTGTTACCAGGCAACAGCTGAAGCCAATAACCTTGCAGCTGTAGCAGGAGCCAAAGACATGTACATCAAGAGCATGGAGCAGGTACACACACACACACACACACACACACACACACACACACTCTCTCTCTCTCTGCTTGTTGCATTACTTTGTGTGGTATCCTGGTCTCAGGTATGTGGTGGAGATAAACCCTACATTTCCCCGACGGAGCTGGAGCGCCGCCACGTGGAGCTGCGGCAGGCGTCGGTGCGGCACTTCCGCTCTGTTAAGAAGATGGGCGGCGAGGAATTCTGCCGGCGCTACCAGGAACAGCTGGAGGCGGAGCTCGACGAGGCCTACGCCAACTTTGGCAAGCACAACGACGGCAAGAACATCTTCTATGCTGCACGGACGCCCGCCACACTGTTCGCTGTCATGTTCGTCATGTACGTGGTGTCGCTGGTCACGGGCTTTGTGGGAATCAACTCTGTGGCCACGATGTGCAACCTCGTGATGGGCGTGGCTCTGACAGCGCTCTGCATCTGGGCTTACGTCAAATACTCAGGAGAGTTCCGTGAGGTGGGAGGAGCCATCGACCAGGTTGCCGAAACCCTCTGGGAACAGGTGAGAGGTGGATTCAATTAAACTTTATTAACAAAGTGTGACGAAGGTTTTCCACTTAAGTTTTTATGTTGTTGTATATTTATATTTTAGAGAAACTTAAATCTGTCGATCTTACTCTCCAGTGAAACAGTCACATGTTTGATTCCTCATGTTCCTCTGGTAAAGTCATGAGGCTATGGTGGAACTGTCGTGGTCGTTGATTGGTCGTTTACAGCAGCCAATGGTGCTGAATGTGCGTCAGCGCCCCCCTCTGGCAGATTCGACAGTAACCAGGAGGCGGTGAATGATTCCAGAAAGTTTTCTGATTGGTCGCAGGATGAGTCATCAAACCGAGTAAAGTGTTAAACAGGAACAAGAGAAAAGAAAGAGATTTAGATGTAAATAAGAGTTGACACAGGACCAGGTCCCGTTTGTCTCAATCAGCAGGAAACTTTTAAAATGTGAAGAATTCTAAACAGAAACTTTATTCTGTCCTTCATTTTCTCTCACTGCTTCCAGAGGACTCCACGGAAGGTGAGCAGCTCAGGGACGTGTGTGCATTTTCATTTCATCTAACAGTCGTGTGGAAACACGCAGCTTTATTTAAGATCATATTTAACCTGCAAACAGGAAAACAGTTTGATTTGTTTGGACAAATTCGACCTGGAATTGTTTTCGTTGTTCGTTCATCAGATGTGTGTTGTGGTCTCAGTGTTTGGAGCCTCGTCCTCCTCCGGCTCGTTCAGTCGCTCTGACCTTCTCCCTCTTTTCCTTCTCCTCAAGGTTCTCTTCAAACTCTTCGAGGTTGCTCGGAGTCGAGTCCCGTTGGGAAGCCTGATCCCGGTGCCGCGGCCCCGGCTCGCCTCCAACAACAACGTCAAGAAGAAAAACTAGCAGCTCGTCTCTTTGGTCATGTTTTATCCCCCCCCTCCCCCCTCTCGTCTGCTGCTCTGTTTTGAAACGGTGTGTTTAGGACGTCTGAGGCGTGTGAATCAGTTTTTGTTCGGAGTGTAGATGAGGGTTCCTCGCCGCGCCGGCTGTAGGTGTCAGGATCGCTGTAGACCCGGAGGGATCGGTTCAATGTATGTTATTATGTCGTGGGCGGGGTTAAGGTATTATTGTGGGAGGGGCCATTAATCTGTCACTGCGTCATCGCAGGTGTGAGTTCACCTGTAGACGTTTACAATTCCCGTTTATGTGAATGTACGAATGAAGCGCATGACCACAGTCCCGCCTCCTTTCGTCTGTCAGGTCTGTGTCTGTCGCCGGGCGGCGTCACGAGGAGGCGTCACAACCAAAGTTTACAGCTTTACTTATTTCAGACTGAGCGGGGGACAAACTGACGGATGTTTGGTTTCAGGGTTTTTCTTTCTCACCCAAAATCAGAAACTGGAGTTTGAGCCGGTTTGATTCGAGTTTAAAAAACTTAAACTCAGTCAGGAAACAAACAGTTGAGCTTCAATCTCAACCTCATGTGGACAAAATGATTTCAAATATTTATTATATGTCTCAGGCTTCTTCAGTGACGATGGACTCATCCAGGCAGGTCTGCATTTTCAGAATCAGACATACTTTATTAATCCCTTTAAGTTCAAACGTCACAGAGCTGAGGAAGAGGTGAAAGAGCAAAAGCAGGTAAAAACACAGCAATATAAAAATCAAGTAAGACTAAAATGAAATAAAAGATAAACATATGTAGAAATAAAAACCGGGTATGTATAGATTTGCATTTGTACATGAATGTAAGTTAAAGTATACACAGTACACAGTACTAGGCTTTATACATTACAGTTGTACTGATCCAGTTTGACTGGCAGGAATGATTTCCTGTGGCGTTCTGTCGAGCGTCACTGAACGAGCTGCAGAGGCTAATCAACCCATGATGGACAAAGTTCTCCAGTTCAGCCCAGTACTCATTTATATTAATACTATGATTGAAAATATTTGATCAAGTACAATTTAGTTAAATCATTAGTGTCAACAGGACTTAAACGAGCGTTAGCGAGCATTTTGAATTTGATAAATATTCTTAAAGCTAAGATAAAAAATGAATGAATTAGGAAGGGACATCCCGTACAAGCAACATTTTAACTGAACCTTTTCTTTTTAACAGTCTGAAGCTACTTTATAGGGTTTTGTATTTAAAGCATCACCGTTGCTATGGTTACACCTGGAGTCCACTCCATAGTTTACCAGCCTCTAAATCAGAGACTTGTGTAAACGCTGCTGGCCTCGTTTTAGTTCTCTTCCTGATTGGTTCTCATCGGTCACATGACTCGACTACCAGCGGTGAACACACAGCGTCGCTAACACTTCCTGTCGCTAACACTTCCTGTCGGTAACACTTCCTGTCGGTAACAGCTCCACCTCGTCGTCACTCAGAGAAAAGAAATCCCTGCTCGGACTTTTCACCATCACTTCCTCCTTCAGAGGAGATTCTGTCAGTCGGAGCTAAACTAGAATCATCTCAGCGTGTTCACACCAAACGTCCATCAAACCTCCTGTTGACAAAGATTCTCTACAAGTTCAAAGTTTCTGATTCTGGGAAAGTAAAAGAACTAAAAACTAAAATTTCCCTAAAACCAGACTCGTCTCCATCAGCGTCTTTCTGATTGGACGAGCGATGACGACGTCGTTATTTCAGACCAGTTTGTCATGAGATCGCAACCTGATGATTTTCTTATTTTCAACTTATTTCTAGAATTTACCTCCATTTGTTTTTGTGTTTACCTGAAAGATTCCACAGCACTTGTGTCTGCGCGTTACGTATGGAGCTGGAGTCGGCTGAGAGTTTTAACCTTCCGCTGCTCCAGCTCTAAACACGAGACTGATATCGATCCTCGGATCTCCAGAGGAAACTGCGATAATTTGCTAATTTATGAAAATGTTGAACAATTTCTTCTTTACTGTGAAATAATTTTGGCTTTTAAACGTTTCCATGTTTAACTGGTTGTTGGTTTTAAAAGTTCACTTCCAGTGTTTCAGAGTAAAATCTTTTTAAATTTCTTCCTCCGGTTCATCTGTAGATAATATTTAATTATTGAACTTGAGTGTCGTTCCCTCTCTCCTCCTCCTCCTCCTCCTCCTCCCCCTCCATCTGAAGCACCTCCTCTGTTTTTAAAAGCACCAGGAAGTTGTTTTAGTAAAAACACTAAATATCCAGTCGATGCTCGTTCTCACTCATTTCAGCGACGCTTTGTCAAGACACCGTCGCTGTTTCAGATTGTAACGCCACGATCTGTTTATTGAATGACTGAAAGGTTCAATTCCCACTTTGACCTCGGCTCATGGGGGTCGGAGGTCGTCGCGTTATTTTGCTGAATTGTGTTTTCTGACTTAATCATCATCATCATTCCATCCACATCACCACCGTGTGCTTTTTGTTTTTGTACAGTTTAGTTTTTTAAAGCCTCATCCACGCACAGGGCATGTGTATGAAATCTATACATATATAAATATAAATTTTCTAGACCTTTTTGTAGCTGGAAGAACGACGGTCAGGTGGTAGAACCAGATTCAGCTCACTGGATGTAAAGGAATGCTTTCGTGATTTGTGGATATGTCTAATAAATTCCTTTTTATAAATATATTTGTAAATTTAATCTTACATGAGCACTGCGATTCCACCCCCTGCTGGCAAAGAATGTTTATAATCTGGATTTTTCTTTTTCTCTTTTTGTCTTATGTTGCATTTTGAAGTTATTTTTCGTTAATTTATTTTTCAGTATGATATTAAACCAAACTCCTACGACACAGAGTGGTGTCTGTCTCTTTATTCTTTATGTGCATCTGTGGAAAAGCTTTAATCACAGAAACTTACTGTTCAGAACTTTACACGACTAAAAATCTCAAACAGTTTATTTGATTATTCATGTGTTCTAACTTCCTGCCAGTAAAGAGCTTCCATACAAACTCAACTCTTCTATAAATGGCACAAATTTTTCTTCCTCAACATTTTCTTTGTTGCAAATTTAGTTTTATGCACAAATTAAAAATGTGCATATGAACGGTTATCATACGTGATGAACTTTTTGTTGACACATGTTTAAATTATATTTTCAAAGTACGACATTTAATAAAAGTTTTGAATAAAACTGAACATTAAGTAACAGGATGCAGTGGAACAGTGACGCCACCAGGGAGCAGCACAACTCAAACTGAGGAGAATAAAACAACTTCCTGCTGAACTGAAATATTTATTATTACTGCAACAGAAGAAGAAGAAGAGTGAACCACAGAGGAATCACCCTCTCACTCTCTCTCACTCACTCACTCTCACCCTCTCACTCACTCTCTCTCTCACTCACTC